ATACCTCTCAGTCAACTATGCAACAGTGAAGATATAGTCTGCTGTAGAAAATCATCTGTGAAAGCCTGTTCCTTCCTTATCTGCATCTAGGACAGCTGTATCAAACTCAAATAGAAACAGATGCCCTAGAGCCACATATTGACCTGGAAAATTACAAACTAACATTATCTATGTTGTACTGTATTTTTATGTTGTTAAACATTTCCCAATTTATATTTTAATCTGGTGGGCTGCACTCAATAATTTTGCAGGCATTTGACACGTCTAATCTAGGATATATTCTTTGTGTACATAGACAATTCTCAAAAAGACTTCATAGAAAAGAGAAAGCTGTATATGGGTTACTGGATGATTTCTTCTCAGTTGCTGGATCACAAGTTTAGAGATAAAAGGTAGAACTGCACCTTAAAGGATGTTTATTCCAATCCCTTCATGTTACAGATGAAGAAACTGATACCCAGAGAGGTTAAGTGAAATGCCCAAGGTCATACAGCTTAAGTAAATGGCAAAACTAAAATTTACACCAGGATCCCGAGACTCCAAATTCAACAACGTCCACTGCATTGCACTACCCCCATCTTTCGGAAAGTTCTCTTTTTAGAAGTATTGACTTGTCTTCTTATATTTTCATTTCTTTAGTTCCTTTCTCTTACTAGATTTTAATTCCAAGAGAACAGACCCAGTCTTCTTTCCTACAGTGTTCTTCACACAATGGGCTGTTACTTGACTAGCTGGTGACCTTGCACATGAATCATGGTTTCTTCCTCTTTCCTCCAGTAGTCCAACAATCACCCAAGAGTCTTCATTCCCATTTTTCATTAGTACCTCATTGCCTAGTACACTGCGACTGGAGAGGAACTTCTGCCTTAATCATCTTTGTGACACACCTCCACAAGAACAAGGTTTTGTATATAGTGAGTACTCAATGTATGCTAAATACATGGGGAAAAAAATGAAGGGAAATGAAGTATCCTACGGTGTTGTACCCTAGTAAAACATTTGACAGGAGTTAAACTTAATGATAGGTTTTTTTAATTTGTAGATTTCAATTATTTATGTTTCTTCTTTTACACCAGCCTCCCAATTTTTAACCAAAATGAGTTTAAGCAGTAAAACTTCAGTTATGTAAAATCCATGAAACATGGTGATTCCTCCAGGTCTCAGCATTCAGTTCATGATTATTATTACTTCTTGATAATTTTTCTCATTCTTCAAGTTACAATCATTTCTGCATGTTCCCTGTCTCATGAATGAACCTTAAAATGAACCTTAAAAGATTTAAGGTAAAATGCACCTTAAAGTAAGTATACTCCAAAGAGTACAAAGATAATAGCTTATTGTAGTTCAATGTATATTACGTAGACCACCATAAGATCAAAGGATTTAGAGCTGGAATGATCCTTAGAAGTAACCCAGTACAACCCTGTCATTCTATAGACAGGGAAACTAAAGCTTGAAGAGGTGAAATTATTTGCCTGCCCAATGTCACAGAAAGGAGCTGGGATTCGAACTCAAGTACTCTGACTCTAAACCTACTGGCTACTACACCACACTATTTCCTAAATCTCATTAAGTATTAACTAATAAATTAATCTGATCAAGTTTCACAGGAAAATATTAATTCCAAGATCTTGAATCCATGAAAGAGTTCAAATCCATTTTCCTACTCCTTTCTCACTTTCCTTTCACAATTGCCAATGACAATAATAAACCCTAGCAGTCAATTTTTAGTTTGAAATAAGTAATCAGAGATGGGTGACCTAAAGAGTTTAGGGTATGCCTGATTGTGAATTACTGAGGTGCTATAATAAAAGGTAGAAAGATCCCAACCAAGCTGTGTTAAGTGAACAGAGAAATGGCAGATGAGCCAGTAAATACAAGTATAAGAAATAGCATTTAGAGGAAAATAACTTGAATTCTACTTAGGATCAATTAAAGCTTGAAAGGACTGTAGCAGTCATGTTGTCCCACCCTTTCATTTTCTAGATGAGGAAACTGAGGTCCAGAAAAGTTAAGTACTTTGACCAAGGTTATGAAGGTCTAAGTGGCTGATCCAGAATAGAACCCAGTGCTCTTTCCACTGTACCACAATGCTTCTCCAATGAGGAGCTGTGAGTTATCAGTAAACAACCAAATTGCTACAGATTATTCCCTGAAGACAACATCCCAGTGTGCTATGACTGCCATAATGGTCAGAAAAATGCTAGGTATCAACACCTCAACAAATATTAGATGTCTTTTTGGTATCAAGTATCCTGCTAGATGCTGGGATCAAGCAGGGTACTGGAAACAAACCAGAAATTATTATTCTGCTCTTTTGGAATGGAGAACTATGGTGCAGATGCACCCAAATTGGCTAAATTGCTTGTAACTGTGATCATCTCTACAGAACAACCAGAAAAGGGGAACTAAAATGATCAAGGGAATGGAGAATCTTATAAGTACATAGTACTAAAATAAGACCTTTCAGTATGAATAAAGAATAAGACATGAAAGAAATGATAAAAGCCTATAAAATTACATAGGTAAGCACAGATTTGTTGGGGTTCATGGATACAGTAAATGTGAACTTGTTAATCAAATCTTAAACTAGAGGGCTGATATCCTTGGAACTTCACACAGAAAAAAAATTTTAGGTCATAAAATATGAAGCCCCATTTTCCACTGGTAATAAACCTATGGAATTCATCCCAAGAGCTATAAAGTGTGAAAAAGCAAATGGGTTAATAAAACGTTTAGGTAAGTTTATAAAGAGTATCTAAGGGGCAGCTAGGTGGTGCAGTGGATTAGAGCTCTGGCCTTGGAGTCAGGAGGACATGAGTTCAAATCCAGTCTCAGACACATGACACTTACTAGCCATGTGACCCTGGACAAGTCACTTAACCCCGATTGCCTCACCAAAAAAAAAAAAAAAAAGCAAGAGTATCTAAACTGAGTTATCATGGCAAGTTAGGGATCAACCTAATCTAGTGCAAACCCTTGAAGGGGGGCATGGTAGTTATTCCGTCTGAAAAAAAAAAACATCCCTTGGTGTCACCTTCAAGAGATTTTGAGTGGTTGAGTATGAATTCTGAGCTGGATGGAATACTGGGATGACCCAAGACAATTTTCTTTAAGTTCTTATAACTTTAAAAGGATGATCATATTTACCCACTTTATACCTACCTGTTGTGTATGCAGTCAACAACTCATTAAATATTTAGGCTGAATTTTTTTTTTGATCTCCGAAGTTTAAAGTCTTCTGTCTGCATTCTCTGTCTACATCTCTCTTTCTATTCTCATTTAGTACTTTCAGCAAAGTAAGGCCAAGTTTTTCGACAGTGTTCAGATGTGTCCCTTAAACCTTTATTTCCTCTCATTAACATTTTCAAGAAACTATTTTCCTATGTTTAACCTTTTTTTGGCCAGTCTTTTTGTAATGCTTGCTCGGTCTCTTCATTTTTCATTCACCTTAGCATGGTAAAGCTATTCATCCTGGAGGTTGGAGTAAAGCAAGTCTGATGGCCCGTGCAGGATCCTATACTAAAAAATACAAGGAAGCTAAAAATATTACCTAGGAGTCATGACTCCCTCAATCACTTACACCTCCGTTTAAGTAGACATCAGTCCTAGAATATGGGGAGCCTCCCCTGGCCAACTCCGGACTGTAACCTCGGGAGGAGTAACAAAAAGGATAAGGTGATACTTCCAAGTATCTCGGACCCAAGTCATTATGTCTCCTCTCACTCCGACGTGCAGAAGGAGCCCATTCAATGGGCGTTTCTGGCTCTCCAGCCTCCCTCGAGGTCCAGCAGAGCTGGAGTGAGGAAGCCGCCCGCCGAAGCCCGACAAGCAGGGAACTGCCGGCCCGCCGGCAGGACAGCACCAGGGAGGGGGAGGGGGAGAGGGGAGGGGGAGGGGAACGGCCGAGTGAGCCACCAGGAGGCTCAAGGGAAGACAGCGAGGGCGGCAACACATGAAGGCTGTCCCGGAACACGCCGAGGCGGCCGCGACGGAAAGGCCCGAGGGCCCCAGCCGGCCGGCAAACGCCGATCGCTCGCTCGCCGCTCTCGCCTTTCTTAAGAGAGAACTGAAAGAAGAGGCGGCGACAGGGCTGAGGCCAGGGGCCAAGTAGGGCAGAGAGAGACGGCGGCGGGGACGACGGGGGTCGCAGCAGCGCGCCAAGAACGGCGAGGGGCACCCCCTGAAGCGAGAAAGTTTAGGGGGCGGGCCTCCTCGGCCGGGTCGCCAGGGGCCGAGAACGGCGGAGCGGCCTGGGATGTGTTTACATTGGAACCCCGGCCGCCCCGGGGCCGCGCCTCCGGCCCAACGGACCGAGCCTCTCCCGAGGACACGGCGATCGGAGGTTGCAGGGCGGGGGGCTAAGCTCCAACAGGGACGAGGTGGGGTTCCAGGCTTCGGGGAACCGAAGAGGCAGGGCTCGGCCCTCCGGGCACGGGACTGAGACCAGCGGGGACTGCCCGGGCCGCTGCCGAGGGGCCGGAGCAGGGGGGAGGGGGAGGCCCGCGATGCCCGTCGCCGCGGCCAGCTCGCCTGCTCAGAGCCCTGGGGCCACTTTCCTTTGGCGGGAGGAGCCCCTGCACCCGGGGTTTCCATTCCTCAGGCCAACGGCCCTCGGGCCTCTCTCCCCGCCAGCTGCCCCGGGCGGCGCTTCTCCTACCTTCGTTCGCCAGGTCCGCCATTTTGCTCCCTTAAGCCCTCCCACAAGGCACCGCGCCGGCCCTAGCTCCGCTGCTTTCAACCGGGGAGTCCCGCGCCTGCGCACCCGCCACTCGTGCAGGGGCTGAGCCAACAACAGCCGGGTCCTCGTCTCCGAAAGAAGCCGAAAGCTTAGGTCTTCTTTACTAAGCGAGAAGAGACGCCCCGTCTCCGGGGCAGGCGTGGGGGGGGGGGGGGGCGGCGCCGCGAGTCTCGCGCCTGCGCGCAAGATAACTTAAACTTTTTTTTTACCTATTTTCCCAAAGAGGAGAAGGGATGCAAGAGGAGGGGGGAAGGGAACCACCAGGGTGCGCGTGCCTGCCTCGCTCACATACGTAAACACACGCGTGCGCAGACTCGCGTGTGCCGGTAGGCCTGCTCTGTGCCCACTGTTGGGCGGGAAAGGCTAAGCAGCGGCTGGCTCAGGCAAGGAGGCGGCGGAGCCCGCGCCGGGAAGCCCGCTGCCGAGAGGGCCCCGGTCTCGTTTGGGTGAGTTCTAGGGCTCCCTCAATGCCGTCCGAGGCCCAGTCCACGTGCTGCCTTTTGCGGAGGGTGGGGCCCGGCCCGGCACTGTCCCTGCTTGCACTCAGCCGTGGAGGCCAGGGAAAGCCGGAGCCAGGTAACGAGCTGTGAGGAACGCGGAGGCCCGGCCGGGGAGGCCTTGTGGGGGCCTCGGGACAGGGGAGGTGCAGCTCCTGGGAGGCCCCGGAAGCCCCCGCAGCGAAGCTCCCCCACTTGGTGATTATTAACCTGCATACCTGCTTCCCCCGCCCCCGTAGAGTGTGAGCTCCTTAAAGGCAAGGACTATCTCATTCTTGTAGCCCCCTGTCCCAAAAAAGTCTGTTAGAGCTTCTGGAACTGAATTATGGTTATCCAGCCCGTCCAAAACATAGGCGAGTAAGTAAGAAAGCAGGTTGGGAAGGTTGGGGAATAGTGACTGCTATTCATGTGAGGCTTTAAAGGTTGCCAAGGGAGCTGGGCGGTGCAGTGGACAGAGCCCTGGGCCTGGAATCGGGAACCCGAGTTCAAATGTGGCCTTGGGCAAATCACTGAACCCTGTTTTTCTCAATTTCCTCATCTGTGAAATGAACCGGAGAAGGAAATGGCAAACTACCCCAGTATCTCTGCCGAGAAAACCCCAAATGAGATCATGAAGAGTCAGACAGCTCATGATTATTATTAGTTCTTGATAATAGCACCTACCTCGCTGTTGTTGGATCAGATGAGATAATGTTGCCAAACATAAATATCAGCTATTAGTTCCCTGGCTCCTAGTGGCCTCTGGGATTAAAATATAAACTCAGTTTAACATTCTTAAGTCTAGTTCCAGGCTATCTTTCCTGGTGTATTTGACATTATTGGTTCCCAAGTTAGATTACACACGAAGAAACATATTAAAAATTTTTAGTTCATTTGAAAATTCTAAGAAATATCCAGTCTAAATGATGAGGTTGGGATCTGGACCCCAGAAAGGACTTTCCCATGTGGCCAGATCCCTGGCATTTGCCTGAGGCCATAATCCCATCAACCAGCCTTTCACTGTGGCTACCCAATCTTCCCATTCTGTTACCCTTAACCTAGCCTAGCCCTCCATTGTCTTACCTCCCTATGGGGGCAGAAGAGCTCGCCCGCTGGATCGCGCGCGCGCACACACGCACACACGCACACACACGCACACACACACACACACACACACACACCACACACACACCCCCCCCTTCCTTAACCCTAGCTGTGCTCCATTCTCCCTTGGTTACCAAGTCCAGGTCCTTCTCTGTTACCTCCCAGTCACCTCAGACCACGTGGCCACACCTACATCTCTCCCACAGTCTTTCTGTATATAAGGTCTAGCTTGTGTCCGTTAAGGTGCTCAGATTCTTAAAATCTAGCCAATAGCTCACTAATTTTCAGATTCCTTAAGAGTCTGCCCAATATGATGGATGTTTTAATAAACCTTGTCTTTGGCTGAAAGAAGGCTTGAGTCAAATTCTTTCGGGCAGCACCCTTCATGTCATGATCTTGGGGTCCCAGCACCCCTGGACCTCATCATCAAGTCCTTTCCTTTACTTGAAGAAGACTGTCAGTACTTAAATCAGACTTCTCAGTAATGAGTGCCCTTCAGTAAAATCCTTTTCCCCCCTTCTCTTCTAGGCCTAACCCCATTCTATCTTAGGAAGATGTGTGAATGGTCAAGAATTAAAGCTAAGGCCTCAGAAAATGGATTTAGGGAACCAAGCATAAAAAGAGTCTAGTTAGGATCATTGCCTTTGTCTCATTCCTGAAGGGTATTAACCCTTTCAATGGAAGAAGTCTTTAGGTTATTTTGGTTGGGAGTGAGAACGGTATGTGGGTGTGGTACAAAAGGTATTTAAGTGGCTTTAGGAAACTTCCAGCCCCAGCTTCAAAGATGATTGTTCTGGAATTGTTGAGGTTGAGGAGTTTAGGGTTGCTGGGACCCCGAAATAGCGACACGCAGGTCCTGCCTGAATGAATTTGACCCAAACTTTTTTTTAGCCAAAGACAAGGTTTATTAAAGATCCGCCATATTATTGGCCAGACTCTTAAGGAATCTGAACAGTTGTGAAGCACATGTTGACGAGCTGGCTAGATTGAATCTCAGCCCCTTAATGGTGACAAGGTGGATCTTATATACTGAAAAACTTTGGGAGGAATCTTGGGGTGGCTGGAGGAGAGGTCTAGAGAGGATCTTGGAGGGGGACAGTAGGCTGGGGTGACTGGGAGGTTGAACAAGGGGACTGGAGAATGGGTTCTAGATAGGATCAAAGGTGGGAAGTAGCTGGAGTCAACAGACCATAGACTTGTCAATGGACAATAGATCTGGAGGTAATAGACAGTGAAGGGTGGGGCTAGGTCAAGGGTATCAGAATGGGGTGAATTGAGGACAGATGAGGGGTTTATTAATCCTGTGGGGAGGACTGCTGTTGTGTGCAACTCCAACGGCCAATCAAGGAGATTTATATGCTCAGGATGATTGGATTAAAGAAGGGGGGGTACCCCGTTAAAATCTGGATAAATGTCACCCAAGAAGCTACTCCACAAACAGTTTAGTTTGATGCATGTCAAATTATAGAATGTGGAGACTTAAATAATCAAAGACAATTATTTTAAGTAGTTATGATAAGTATTTGTGTCCATAAACAAGACCTGCTACCATGGGATACTTTAGCCTGGGGACCTCTAGGGAAACCCCTTGTTTGAGCTGGAATGAGGTTTGGTTCACCATAGCTTATAAGGGTTGGACTGCCCCATGTTCAGAAGGAAAACCACTAAAATAAAAATTGAACATGTTCAAGGGAGAAATGAGACCCAATTGTCATGAGTTAAAATGTAATCCCATAAATTTTCACTATAAAAAATGCAGATTGGGAAGTGAATCGGACCTGTGGGTTTGGAGTAGATATGACATAGCGAGATCCAGTAGCAAGATACAGGATAGTGGTTTGGAAACCAGACATATGGGGAAGCCCTAGTGTAACCATAGTGCCCCCAGTGGAGGAATGGAAACTCCCAAATGACCCTAAGATTGTGAAGGGAATGAAAGTTAAGGACACAAGACAGATGTTAGGGGAAAGATATTGCGCCTTTATTCCCTTCAAAACAGGCCCAAATGGAAGCATTACTAAGACATTGCAAGGTCCAACTGGCTTAGCTAAAGAATTGGCAAAGAACTCTGGGGTAGACAATTCATTGACAGGATGGCTGGAATCATGGTTTGGCAAGTAGAAGGGAATGGCAGTCTCTATCTTGATCTCCTTAATAGTAGTTTTGGGGTATTGACAGCTGTAGGCTGTTGCATAATACCTTGTGTAGGGGGGTTGGTATAAGAGATTAATTGAAACAGCAGTAACAAAATAAATCCCCATGAACACTCGATCAAATAATCTATTCCTACTAGATGAAGAGACCGAGGTGAACCTTAATTATGATAAGGAAAGTGAAATAATGTTATCAAAACTAGAATCTTCTTATGGCATAATGAAATGAGATGCAGGAGAAACAAAGAGTAAATAAAAAGAAAAGGGGGATTGTAGAAAATGTCTGCATATCACTCACCTGCTAGATCTTTTTTCCCCCTCTTTTCCTATCCCTGACTGGAAGCGTGCGTGCGTGTGTGTGTGTGTGTGTGTGTGTGTGTTTGTGTGTGTGTGTGTGTGGTGTGAGAGAGAGAGAGAATAAAAATCTGTTAAGCACCTACCCTGTGCTAAGCACTGAAGATACGACAGTCTAATGGAGGAAACAGTGTGCTAACAGAAATGTGGCTAGTCACTGTGGCAGAGCTGATCTGGGGAGGCTGCCTGGCATTTCTGAACAAGTAGCACTCCCCTCCAGAGAGGAAACAGCCTGGGGCTGACTTCAGCACTTGGTACTCTCCCTTATCATGGCATCTAGTTCACTAAAAGGACTCTCATGCTCAGGGGAAAAAAATGTACTTTCCTAGAATATTTTCAGAGAATACCATTTGGAGAACCCAGAAATAGAAGGAGGCCATGCCACACAGTGGCCACAGGAGGATGGCAGATCATCAGGAACGCAGTATGTCTGGACTCAGAATCCTAAAGCTTGAAGAGTCACTAATGGAACATCATTTAGTCCAGCACCTTAATTTCACAGGTGGGGAAATTAAAGCCTAATGAGAAGCAGCAGCTTGTCCAAGGTCACAAAGTGACAGAGTGGCAGAGCAAGACTTTTTTGGCACAGGACTGCAGAACCTTGGAGGGTTTGAGAAGCTGGCTGTCACTGTCTTCTTGGGGGGAGCTGAATGAGGGTCCAGCTACTTTGTGTTTGTGTCATGTTTCTGTAATTCCATTTGCAACCTCCCATTGCTCTGCGCTGATGGTCACACAGGCAGAGAAGGTAACCCAGTCATTGACAAGCAGAGTGCCTACTATATAGTGGGGGGAGATGAAAGAGGTGGTCTTAGAGGCACTTATAATCTGAGGGGAAAGAAAAGCGAAACAACACAAGGACAACTTCAAGGTGAACAAACCAGCCCGTGGGTGAGGCAGCAGAGTGTAATAGAAGTGACCAGGGAAATGTTTCAGAGATGAATTTTGAGCTAGTTTGGAGAATGATCAAGGGATGGGACAAGCTTTCCTCTCTCTGCCCACGGCCACTCTCTCCCTGGTACAGGACACAGTGATCTCCTGGCACGTCTCTCCCTTTCCACTTTGTGCTCCCTCTAGCTTATTCACACAGCATCTGCCATAGACATAGATCTAATCATGTTGCTTCTCTGGTCAGAATTCTTGAGTGGCTCACTATCATGTCTCCTACGAAGCTGAACCTCCCTTACCTGGCATTCAGAGACTTCCAGTGTGAGCCACTCTACTTTTCTACACTTATCTTGCGTTGCTCTCTTCCATATACTTTATGTTGCAACTTAAGTGGAATCATTCTTTGGCCCCTATGCTTTCTGACCTCTGTGTTTTTGCTCTTTGTTCCCAGTACCTGAAATGCCCTTTCCATCT